TTTTGAGAATGATGAGGGCAATGAATGTACAAATGTGCTTTACACAATTGATGTATGTATGGATTGTGATAAGAGTTGTATGTGCCCCTAATAAAATGATTTTTTTAAAGAGAGAGTTTTAATCATGAGCCGGACATCAGAATCAGTTAGATTAAAAAAGTATGCAATATTTCCTTCATCTATATTTGTATGGGTTTTTTTTTTCTGAAGCATTTGACGATATTGAAGACATCATGACACTTGAATAGCGTACATTTCCACACAGTGACAACCTTCTCCAGCAGAATCTCAGGATTATCACATAGAATAATTAGTAAGAACTTCCCAATATCTACAACTAGTTTAAGACTTCATGAATTAGTCCCCCAAAATGCCTGTTGTAGCTTTCATGTTGTTTTATACCACATCAAAGTAAGTACAAGCATTACGATGTTTCTAAAATCTTTCTTAATTTATAACATTCCCCCCAAATTTTTTATAACATCGATTTTTTTTTTTCTAAAGAAACCTGGCAAATAGTCTTGTAGAATGTCACACACTGAATACATTGTTTTTTTTTAATTTTAAGAGTAATATTTGGCTTAAAATGTTTTGAAACAGTAGAGGAAGTTTAAAATTATAGTGAAAATTGCCTGACACTTTCTGACCAATCCTGGTGCCCCTGGGGTGGGGGTGGGGGAGCTGAACCACTCTTAAGTACTAATTATGCCTTGGATTCCTTTCCAAGGACTTTCTATGCATACTTAAATATATTAATATACTTATGTTAAAAGATAGAGGAAGAGATTCACCAATGTTTCTGATAAAAAGATACCTGCTTTGGCTTGACCAAACTAAATGTTTGGGATGGAATGGTTTAGAGCTATATCAGGTGTTTCCTAGAAATCACAGAGGCTCATGAAGTTGTTCTACATGAAATGAGAGGAATTGGCGCTCCTTCTGAGAGAAGAAAGGAGCCAGGGAGCTTGGAAGAAAGGTTTGACCTAAGTGTTGGAGAAGAGTTTGCAGGCACGTGTTTGCTGTGGGTTGTGTAATGGAACTTTCTCTGCTTCCCTGTCAAATTTTCATTAGCCTACATATTACACACTAATCATTTTGACTGCACATTCTTTTGGACCCTATAGTAAAATTACAAAAGAGTAATGACTGTAAATATGTCCAAGAGAACGACGGACCATGTATTTGATAAGGTGTTATTGTCCAGATTGTATAAAGAACTCCTACAGTTTAACAAAAGACAACCAATCAAAAAAAGTGAGCAAAGACCTGGATAAATATTTCCCCCAAAATTATGCACAAATGGCCAGTAAGCACATAAAAAGATGCTCAACAGCATTAGTCTTTAGGGAAATGCTCAACCCCCAGTCCGATACCTCTTCACCTCCAAGGGGATACCTTTAATCAGAAAACATGGAAAATAGCAAATGTGGACAAGAGTGTGTAGAGACTGGAACCTTTAGCCATTGGATTGTAAAATAGTGCCGCCCTGTGGAAAAGCTTGGCAGCTCCTCATAAAGTTCAATAGAATTAGCATAGACTCCATAACTATTCTTGCAAATATGCCCCAAAGAATTGAAAGTAAGAACTAAAACAAACACTTGTACATCCTTGTTCATTCAAGCTTTCCAAAGTTGGAAATAAGCTAAATGTTAATCAACAGGTAAATAGATTAAACAAAATATATACCTGCTATGGAACATTATTCAATTGTGCAGTAAAATGAAGTATGGATATATACTACAAAATGTATAAATTACAAAAAACATACGAAGTAAAGTAAGTTGCAAAAGGACAAGTAATATGATCCTTATATGAAACATCGAGAGGCCAATGTTTATGTTGGGTTTC